CCCGATCCCCGATTCCTCACAGGGAATTCCCCTATTAGGCCTAATTTGGAAACTCCAATCCTTCCGGGATCCTGGACTTTTCCTAGACGGGTAATCTATAGGGATATCATTTTAATTGTCTTTCTAGTTTTTAGTGGGGTTTTTTCCATCCCTGGGTTTTGCTCCCTATGCTTTCAAAAGAGCCCTTAGGGGACGGGGATGGGGCTAGTTTCATCCCCATGGGGATTTAAACGATAGGGAAGTGATCCTCGTCGGGGCTGGGGGGACGGGGACGATACCGTCCCATCCCTGGTCCCCATTTCCCCGCCCCGCTAAATAGCTGCGCAGACATGACTAAGCAAGAGAAGGCCCATTGGTAGACAACCGAATATATATCGTGACTAACCCGAAATTCCGTTCATTTCTCTCTCCCAGTAACAGCTGCCACCAGCCTCCCTCGACTGCTCAACCCCGAGGCATCGACACAGCACCGCCGCCAGCCTTTGCATCTACGCCTCTCGCCTCTCCTCTCCCCTCCCCTCCGGCCCTCCCCACGCGGGCATGCCGGCAAGCTCGAGCCTACTCTTGTGCTGCGTGTTCGGTGTTCGAATCAAAGGAGAGATGGCCAGAAACTAGCAAGCAACAGGGAAAAAGTCTATATAACCCCCAACGTATTCAGGGTAGTCTACATAACCCCTGAACTATAAAATCATGTATTGTACACACTAAACTTTGCGAAATCGGACAAATAACCCCCTGGGTGCTATTGGAAAGGTGGTTTTGCTGATTGGCAGTCCATGTTGGCAAGATTGACACCGTGATGCATGGGCTCACCTGTCAGCCTGGTTGGGCCATCTCTTCTCTCCTTCCCCGCCGTTGTGGTGCTTCTGTCCGGCGAAGGGACAGGACAGTGCTCGCGCATAGGGCCTTGCCCATGTGTCGACGTGCGGCTGCCGTATCGTGATGCCCAGCCCACCAACAGACTACCCTAGCACCGATGACGCTAGGGGCGACGATGCTGTTCCTGCTGCCGCCGTCGGGCCGGCTGCCCTCGTGTGAGCCCCGCCACCTTCCAAAGTTTAGTGGTCTGGCACAGCGAGAGGTAGACATGGGCACTGCTTCGTGGAGCGCCTGGGCCTGCTGCAGCTGCCTCCCTTTGATCCCTGAAGCTTCCGAAAGAGACCAGCTTCCCTGTGGCGTCATAACTCATAACTCTACGCTAATACCCCCCGGCCGAGTAAACGTAATTTGGAGAGTAGTAGAGTACATTCATACATGTGGTACATGACTCTCAGCGTTGCATGTGTATTCGTATCACCTAAATTTCCTTTATGCACGTTCTCTAGTACATCATGTACACACGCGTGTGATAGCTAGGTTCATGCACCCATTAGCTAGCTTCTTTTCTTTTCATGGATACGTAGCCCTTGCATCAGCTTGCTTCTTGTTAGCCTATGATGAAACGGCGTCGTAGTCGCTCGTAACAGCAGCAGCTGGCCGGTGGGCAAAGCCATGCGCCGTACGTCGTACGTCCTCGTCCTCGTATAGGCTACGTGTAATATGCGATTTGGAGAGAGTACACGTAGACGACATGAATGGTAATGGCTGTCTGGTAGAAGCCATGCGCCTGCAGCTCCGTCCCAGCCTATCGTCGCCGCCGCCGAAGCTTGCTGCCGGCTCTGAGGCCGTCCGCTGCCCAGAGGAATCGCAGGCGACGGAGGACAGGAGCAACGCGTGCGCAAGCAGGAGACGATGACGAGCGCAAGCGGCGAGGACAGGAGCAACGCGTGCGCGTGACTGGCGGCGGCGGTGCAGTGGCGAGTGCTGGGACATGGGGCAACCACGGTAGGGACAGCAGCACCGCGTGCGTGCGGTCGGAGTCGTGATGCGTGGAGCAGCAGTGGTGTGGGCTGATGGGTGGGCCTCGACACCATGTCATCGGTCTTGTTCGCTTCTCTAATAATTCGTACTTTTTAACTTATTTTTTAGTCAGAATAGTATTTTTCTTTCGTAACAAATCAGTCAGAACAGTGTTTCGATTTATTTTTTCAGCGAAGCGAACGGGGCCATTAAAGGTATGCCATTGTGGAATGACACATATGCAAAACCACTTAGCAAAACTATTTTATGGGGTTATTTATCCGATTTTGCGAAGTTTAATGTGTACAATATCCGATTTTCTTGTTAAGGGGTTACGTAGACCATCTTGTATACGTTAGGGGTTATATAGATTTTTTCCCTAGCAACAGGGACGGGTGACACGGGTCTCCATTCTGTTCATCCGATTCTTTGCTCTAGTTCTCTGATTTTTTTTTATCTTCTCCAACCATCTAGATCTGTGTGTGCTACTACTACTATCAACCTGTTCGTTTGGCTGTGGCTTGTCGTAAACGATCGTAAATTTCTAGCCAAAACAGTATTTTTCTCTCACATAAACTAGCCAGCAGTACTTCTTCATGAACCAGCAACGATATGAACCAGCCAACCGAACAGGCTGTATAATACCAGATCCGTGTGCTACTTAGATCCATCTGTGAGTGCAATGATGTATGTGCAGCGTGTTGAACTGCTGATATATCATGTATGCACAACGTGCTTCTGCGCTGGTGCTTTGTGTTGCAAGCTATCGGAATTTTATGGTGTTCAATTTGCTTTGCTCCTGGCTATACTCTTCTATGGCTGTGTCATTGAAACGGGGATGGGTATCCCCGTGGGGATCGATTCCCCACTCAGGGACGGGGATGGGGGAAACTCAAGCCCTGACGGTGTTAGCGGGGATGGGGAGCCGGCCCCGACGGAAAATTCCCCATTGCCATCTTTAGTTCTTCCTGTTCAACAGCACCCAAATCGGGGTTAAAGCAAAGGAGAATAAGAGTTTGGTAGGAGATCGCTCGGTGTTATCCTATGGCTCGACGGTGGTGAGGTTTCTTCCCAGCGAGTAAGGGAATCGGCCCCCTCTCTTAATGGGTTGCCGCGGGAGGAACACCACTCTGTTGTTCCTCTTAGTTCACTTGGTGTTCTGTTCTGGACGATCGGATGAATGATCTCTCTCTCTTCGACCTCCTCTTTCTTGTGAGAGCCAACCTTCCCCTTATATCCTGAGGAAGGTCGGTATGAGGCGGTTCGGAGGCTTTGGGCTATGGTCTTCGTGCGTCGGGCATAGGAGTTCACTACTGCGGCGTGGATGGACCTTGGTTTCATTGTCATGGGCGCTGCGGACGTCGCAGGTACCCTGACACCCTCCACCGGGTGAACCTTCTTGAGGCTTCCTCGGTGGTAAAAGCGCCTCGGCTTGGGGCCTGACGAGTAACACTTATACTAGTTGGTGGTACAAAAATGTTACCCGAAATTATCTTAAAATTCAGGCACCTGAAATATAGAAGTGTTATTCAAATGACTTCTAAGGTCCTGTTTGGTTCGCGACCAAAATTTGCCATGCCAAAGATTTGGCAGCCAAAAGTTGGACAAAAAAAGTTACTAAAGATTTGGCAAGCTAAATATGAGAAGTTGACAAGTATTGGTAGCCAATTAAATTCTAGCCAAAATCATGGCTCGCCAAATCCTTGGCTTAATAGATTTTAGAAGTGAACCAACCATGCCCTAAGTGATATACTCTAAATTGCACTAACCTGGACCATTAGTTTTTAGCCCATCTAAACAGGTTTAGGTGTTACCTACTGTTCTCCTTAAAAGAAATCTTTATTCAGTTTGTGTCCAATATAAAAAGAGAAAAAGAAAGTTTGTGGCTACTCCTTCGTCCCTAAATATCGTTTTTCTTCTCCAAAACAACTTTGACTAAATATTATAAACAATGTTAATACTTATAGTACCAAATTAATATTATTAGATAGATCGTTAAATCTACTCCCTCTATTCTATTTTATCTAGCACAATTAGAATGATACGATCTCCTAGATTACACTTTAATCATTCATTTATTTTATATTATATTCTTTATGGTTATAAACTTATAATCAATGGATAGTATAATTCCTTACTAATCTAATCATATAAAGTGTATATAATAGTTAAAAATTATTAGCTTAACTATTGGTCAAAATTTTTAAAGTTTGAATTTTGATATGTGTGTGCGTCAAATAAAATGTAATGGAGGTAGTATTTTTATAATAAATTTATTTGAAGATATAAATATTACACGTATTTTCTATAAGCTTTAGCCCTTGTTTAGTTCGCGAAATTTGGATTTTGGGGCTATTGTAGCACCTTCGTTTTTATTTGACAAATAGTGTCCAAACATTGACTAATTAGGCTTAAAACGTTCGTCTCGCAATTTCCCACCAAACTGTGCAATTAGTTTTTCTTTTTGTCTACATTTAATGCTCAATGCACGGGCCGTAAACATTCGATGTGACAAGTACTGTAGCAACTTTTTGGATTTTGGGGTCCAACTAAACCAAGGCTTAGATTCGAAAACAAAAAAAACAACAGTTATTTAGGCACGCAGTATGCCAGTATCGAGATGACTGATTGAGCATCTAACAAGATGCGACGTCACTTTCGCGCGCCGATGCGAAGTCATTTTCTTTATTTAAACAGATACAGAAAAAAAAGGGGGGGCCTCAACTTCGTGAGAAAAGAGCGGAAACAAACAGCTCACTAGAGCTGGACCCGGTGCACGCGCTAACCTGAATCCCTCGGTCCCAGCGCGTGGTCCGCCAGGTCCGGACGTCCGGTGTCCGTCTGGCGCTCACGATCCTTTGCCATGCGTACACCGAGCTTACGCAGGACAGGAGGGAGAGACGGGGAGAGAGACAAGCAGGAGCGCGCGTGCGTGTGCGTGACGCCGTGAGCCCGTGACCCCGCCGCAACGAGAGACGGAGGAGTCCACGCTCCGAAGAAGCAACGGCAATACCCCCTACTCCGACGACGAGCACAGCTGCGCAGCAAACTAGCAGCGCCCTCGGCAGTTCCATCTCGTTCCCCAATCTTCTCTCCCCGATTCGATTCGAGTGACCCGTCCGCTCCAAATCGAAGAGGAAGGGAGAGAGGGGAGAGGGGGCATGGATCAGGTGCTCAACAAGGTGGGGAGCTACTGGTTCAGCAAGAGGGCCAGCAAGGAAATCGACTCCATCGGCGATGACATCAGCGTAAGTGCCCGGCCGCCTCTCTCCCTCTTCCTCCTCCCGCCGTGCGCGCCTCTTAGCAAATCGGTTCTTCACCTGCAATGCTTAGCCTCATCGAGGAACCGAGGTTCTGGATCTGGCCTCTTGGTTGTTGGGGATTCCTCCTTCCTCGCTAAGGGATTTGCGGCGCGGCGGTTAGGGATGTAGGATTTGGGTTACAATCAGGAGCGGAATGCGGGAGCCAACTTAATTTTGGAATGTGGTTCGCTTGAGGTTGGAGCTGAATTTGGAGCAGTTCCCACCTGATTCATCTTCCTTTTTTTAAGCGCGCGACTGCGGGCATGGATCATGGGCATGCAGTTTTTTTTTCGCCTTGTTTCGGTAGATGCGGCTCGATTTTGGGGGCACGGCGTTGAATCTTCTCATGTGACGTCTGGTCCTCGAATCTTGCCATTGTGGTTCCCATTTGTTGCGATGAAAATTGAAAGCTTAGTTTCCTGTGGGCAGCTGGCAGCGTAGGAGCCGGTCGATGAAGGTTTTCATCACTGGCTGGGCCATTGGCTAAACATTTTTTATTTCCTGTTTCATTTGCTGAGTCATGCCGTGGAGCAACGCAGTTGGCACATCATCTGGCTCATCTCTGCAGTGCCAAAATCACCTTAGTTCCTCTGCTTTCCATGTTTCTGATGTTGTGATTGTGAGGACCTCCATGAGTGAATGGAGGACCTGGAGCAATGAAAGTCAGGTCACTGTGACGATAAATCCAAATGGGAGGAGGATTACACTGGATTTTAGGAAGTATGGTTGGTCTTGGTCATCAGGGTGGTTGCTGTAGATTAGTAGTTCTACAGATTCCTTAGCAAAGCATCAGGCTCACTAATTCGTATCTTGAAATGACACTGCCTACTATGCATGATGTATGTTACATCTGGCCTTTGAGTTGTCCGCAGCTTGAGTTGCTTATGCTTTTCTTCTATTGGTTAAGCATAACTTGTATATGGCTTGTGTGAATCTGCCTGGAACATTTTTTTATAACTGAAGCATTTTGGAATCGAATTTCTATAAATACAACTTCTACAGAACGTTAGTTTCTGGTCGGTCGTGTTTCCTATTGTCAGTGGTGCATGTTTTATAGATAACCAGGTGTGTGCGGCATGTGTTTGAGTGGGGCTGTTGTTGGCTCGCTCTCTCTCTCTCTCGCTCGCTCGCTCTCTCTCTCTCTCTCCCCCCCTCTCTCTCTCTCTCTCTTGCGTAGTTCGAAAAAATAAACTACAACTTCTATTCTCAATCATCTCTACATGTCATGGCTGCACGCGCAGCATAGCCATAACATACTTTTTTCAAAATTTTATTTTTTAGTGGATTAATGTAGTTTGATCTGCGCGCACAGCATAGCTATAACATACTTTTTGAAAATGTCATTTTTGGTGGATTAATGTAGTTTGGTATTATGTGAAGTCTATTAATATAAGTATACTGTGCAAATATTTTTTGCTATCTGTGTTCCAAATTCTGCTGGTTGGATAGGTTAGCCAAGTTTGTATGATCTACTTCTGAGTTCTGACATTGCAATATTTACCATGAACCCAGTCGATCTCAAGCAGCATTGGAGGGTCAGCCAAATGGATGGTGAACAAAATTAAAGGTACTGCATATTTGTGTGTCTGTTCTTTATATCCTTCTAATAGCAAAAGTGACGTGTAGCAATTAGCAAATAACCGTAGCTCTTGGTGTATTGCATAGTGTGCTATTTTTACATATTTAAATGTCTTTTAAATTCAGTTTCAGCATACTAAATGTAGCTTGTCAGATCTGTATTTTATCAAGACAAATTGATAGTCTGCTATGGCAGTTAGAACCATTACTGCTTACGAAAAAGGAGGTTGATAAAAGGAGGAACCTAGTCTCTAAGTGATATTTCTGGAAGTCATGTATTTATAATAATCACTTATAACAATTTAGGGCACAATGCGCAAGAGAAACCAAGAGGTTTCAAAGTATTGGAAAAGAAATGATGAGATTAATGTACATGCTTCAGAGTGAACAAATGAAATGTGCTTTCTTAATATCTGGAGGTGTCAGTCTGGGAGGTGGTAGCATTTGTTAAATGTGCTTTTGTCCTACAGGGAAAATGTCCACTTATTCTCCTACGTGTCCTGTACCTTATTCGTGCAATCTGAATGTGGAGTTTTTATCTGTAATTACAGTAACGTGCAAGGAGCTTAGTTGAATTGATAAAGAAACAAAAAAAGTATGATCATGCTAACATATTATTTTCAACCTATGTGATGAAGGTGTGTTAATGTGCTCTAATTAGAACTGTTGTTTGCATAATTTTCTTGCTGAGTGGTCACAGAACCTGTTCAATTTGTGGTGAATATTTTTGTTTGCTCAAGTGCCAATTGCACAAACGTTTAAGGTGAAATTACTCATGTGCCGGAGGCTAACAGGCGAAATTTTATTATGTCCACTGATCTGACTGAAGCATGTCTTTTATCATAGCCACTGATCTGATTTAAGCATGTCCTGGTCTCAGGGAAGATGCAGAAAGCACTGCCAGACCTCCTCAAGGAATATGACATGCCAGCAGGGCTCTTCCCACAGGACGCGACTAACTATGAGTTCAATGAAGAGACAAAGAAGCTGACAGTGTACATCCCATCAGCCTGTGATGTTGGTTACAAGGACTCGTCAGTGCTGCGGTTCTTCACCTGTGTGACAGGCTACCTTGAGAAGGGGAAGTTTTCCGACATCGAGGGCATGAAGACGAAAGTGCTGGTCTGGACCAAGGTGACTGCCATCAAGACCGAGGGCCCAAAGGTCCATTTCACTGCCGGCGTGAAGAAGACTCGGAGCCGTGACGCCTATGAGGTCGTTAGAGATGGTATCGCCATAGATAAGTTCTAGAGCATACCTGGCATGAAAAATGTGATGTAATTATTCAGATATGCTTCTCTCCTCTCAGTTGGTACACCAAAATTTATACAATCTCGTGTGCTAATTCTGCATTTATGTCTGGAAGTTTAATATGCTTGGTACTTCTCTTAAAAGATGTAGAGCTTAATATAGTTGTTGATTAAATCGAACTGTTAGAGCATGTGATAAATTGCAGTTCGTGCATCATTAGGAAATTGCATTGAGCTGCACTCTTCGAAAAAATGTGTCATTTTGTTTCTTTCACTTTAGTGAAACAGATGCATGAAATTGTGGTATCTTAAGTTTTCGAACTCTTGAGTCCATCTCCACTCAAGTTCTCAATGCTTCATTTTGTTTTGCTAGTTGTGGCTAAATCTGTTCCTATTAACTCAAAAACCAGAAATCTTACATCCTCTAACATTCAAAACTGGACAAATTTGGTAACGCAAGATTAGGTTTTGAGGGTCGTTTGGCATCCTTTTCTAGATCAAAAACAAATTTGGTACCACAAGATAAGGTTTTTAAAACATGCAAAACATCTTCAAACCTCCAAAGAACAAAAAAAATCTTAGAGATATACTAAGATAAGTTACACCCAAATAAAATATTTGGAGCTCTTGAAATTATCTTTGAAAGGTTTTAAAATTTGGATTCAGCTCTAGGAATATGAGAAAAATATCTAAAAAATCTAGAAAATTCCCGAAACATTCTAATCGATATCTAAACATATTTTTGAAAAAATTTCACAACAAAAACATGAGATGTAATAATACTAGTTGCATTCATGTTGGTTGCGTCTAATGTTTTATTGTTAAGAGTTTTCAAAACATCTATAGACATTGATTAGAATGTTTTTCTAATTTTCTAGATTTTCATGGACATTTTCCCAAATTTTTAGAGCTCAAACCAATTTTTGATCTCTTTCCAAGATAATTTCACTAGCTCTAAATATTTTATTTGGTTGTATATTGTTCTAATATGTCTCTATGAATTTCTTGGATTTTTAGAGGTTTGAAGATATTTTTCGTGGTTTAAATTTTTTTTTGTGGTGGTTTAAAAACCTCAACCCTCACGCTACTATGCCCTCGCCTGCGAGTGCCCAGTCACAGTCAAGGAAGCGAGGGAGAGGCCGCGTGCGAAGGAGAGGGGGAGGACACTAAGATAGAGAGGGCCGAGGTGAGAGAGAGAGAGAGAGAGAGGAGTGTGTGTGGGTAGGGACAGTTTCGAGGTTATGCATTTTAGGTCGGTTATGGCTATCGGTTGTGTCTTCAACCGTCGGTGAATACCAACTATTTTTTCACTACCAGTTCATACCACGAACCAGCGGTGATCTATTATCATTGCCGATTTTAATGAAATTGGAGGGGTTTGTTAAAATAATGTGGGCAAAAACTACTTTTGTAGTACTGTATATACATATAACCAATCTATAAATGTAAATCCATATCTTTCTATACCTTAATATTTTACTAAGGGGTGTCTTATTGGTACTTCACTCTCTCTGCCTCTCTTGCCCATTCAAGTTTGATCAGGGACTGATGAGGACATCAACACCGATCATACATCCACGCCATCCACGCCGACACCTGCTGGTCCTATTACCCGTGCTCGTGCTCGAACACTTAATCATCAAGTGAGTTTCTTCTTGAGCTCTTGTCCATCCTGTTTAGATCTTGGAGACACGTGCACTCTTGTTTTGATTAGGAATCAAGGAGAAGACCGAAAGGGAAAAGGACTCGCGTAGGCTGGATTCGGACTGCAGCACACCTCCAACTTGCGACGGTCGCCACGGTTACATACGGAGTCGGATTGGGGTGATTCTGGACTTGTTGGAAAGCTAATAAAGTCTACTTTCATACGGATCTGACCTCATACTCATACCTACTCAGAAACGGCGTCAACAGTCCAAAAATCACCGAGAGGTCTATTCTGTCCAGGGTGCTGCGCCACCTTAAGTTAGCCCAATGGGCTTGTATCGTTTAGAGTCCAGTAAGGACGCGTCCTAGGGTTGGAGCATGACCCAAACTCTCTTGTGGTCGTCCTCCACACGTCATATACCCTTTAGCCGCCACCAGGAACACTTGGGTTTTGTTTAGATCAAGTTTAGCCTTTGCTACTTGCTTGTAGGCGCGCGTGCTGATCCAGCCGCCCGTCTCCTTGTCTTCGGAACCACACTCATCATAAGATTCAGTTTGAGGCTTTCAATTTCATCTTGCAAATTCAGTGCTTGTTTCCTTGTTCTTGCTAGTTCTTTGATTGCTTGCAGGACGGGAGCCCTAGTGGCTGGTTGTCGCGCTCCACAAGACCGTGACGGCCTTTGGAGGTGGTGTATCGGTTGCTAAGGCACGGTCTTGGAAGGCTGTAGTCGGGCCGTGAACGTCATCTCCATCCACCAAATCGAGTGATCTCACGCCTCTCATCGAAAGATCGTCCATAAACCCGAGCGGGTTCATATCAGGGACAATATATAATGCAAAGTCCAATTCAAAGACGGCATGTGCTTATATGAGTTAGCGCAACAAACATCCAAGCTCGTTACATAGTCTGATTCTAAATCGAAAACACAATCACGATGCATAAACCCAATCTAAAATGAATTGAAATGGATAACACAATCGTTGAATAAATATCCAAGTCGCAAGTCATCTAAGTAATGGATTAAGCCTAGACCCAATCAAAACAGTCCAAAAAGTCCAACTCATGATAGACACCTAATCCAACTCTAATTGTACGTCTAGAGCGTCCAATCTAAACATCCAAATAATTACCGTGCCAAAAATGCAGGCTTGCATCCCACGTGTTTGCTTAAACACCAGGCCCCCGCACCATGCCAGCCTGGTTCTTTGTGCATGATGTAAACTCACAATAATCTGATAAATTCTCGCACATAGAACTGATGTTTCGCTTAAAAAACATATGTATAGAGGAGAAAAATCTCAAAAGGACAGATGAGATATTGGCCTCCAATCGCGTCCCATTTGCAATCTACATGCCATTACAACAATAGAATGGTGTGCGTTGGAGGTGATCACCCAATCGCTCTAAGTCTCTAACCCTAAGCAAGGAAGTATTAACAACCCCGTTAAAAGACACATCTTGGTGCGCTCGCAGAGGCTCTACTGCAGCCCCGTCGTCGGCTGTGAAGCAGGGGCCACCTGCAGTTTGTCAGCGCGGCGCCGCACGTGGTCCCCGAGCCGGCGGAGCTTCCTGGCGAACTCCCGCAGGTCCTCCTCGCCGAGCGCCTCGGCGTCCGCCTGCCACCAGAAGCGAACCCCGCCCGCCGCCGCGGTCCGGAGCACCTTCTCCCCGACGGCGCCCATCCGCGTCTTCACCTCGCGCTCGCGGTCGTCGTCGTCGCCGCCGTCGCTGGGGAGCGGGGCGAAGCGGCTGATGACGCGTTCGACGGAGGAGGCGCCCACTGCGTCGGCTCTTGGGGTCCTCGATGAGGACCATCTCCCTGCGCCTCCGCCCCTGGCTCGTCTTTCCAGTCCGGCGCGGCGACACCATCGCCGCGGCCGTTTTCTTGGTCCCGTACTGCTCTTCCTCTCGCGCTCTTAATAATACGAAGGAAAGAGTTGCGACAGAGAGGATTCCCGTTGGGGAGGGAGGCGTGTATTTGTACTTGTAGATGAGGATATCACAAACTCAAATATGGAAGGCTCCGGGCAAGGACGCTGCGGTGGTGGAATTCGACAACCAGACGAGGATATCCCAAAACCAAATACCGAAGGCCGCCGCTACCAGACTACGAACCAGTTCGATGCTCCATGGGGATCCGATCATCAGATGAGCCGCTCTCCTCGATTCTCCCTAGCTGGGTAGTCGTAGACCGGGGTATTCACCACAAGGCGCTCGCCTCCTTCCGCCACGACGACCCTACCACGGCTCAGGCCCGCGCCAGCAACGGCGAGGTCGTCCGCGTGTCCTTCACCCTGCGCCCACTGCCGGGCGCCTCCCGCCTCTGCGTCCACTGGCCGGAGGGCCGCAAGCCGTCCGGCTGGAACGCCGTCGTGGCGGCGCACGGCAACGCCGTACTTTTCCGTCTCGAGGTCGACTTCGAGGGACTCCCCTCATCGTGCTCCGCGATCGACCACTTCATCTACTGGGCCAGCCCTTGCGGTCCCTGGATCTCGCTGCTCCCACGCTGGTACTCGACCGAGGAGGAGATAGAGGCAGCTCGGGTGGGCTCCTGGCGGAGAAACCCATGGATGACACTAGGCCGCAGAGGCACCGGCCTGCTGCTGGATTGTGATACAGGAGATTTGGTGGTGGCGGAGCTCCATCTCGATCTGGACAGGCTCGAAGACGTGGATGCACCTCTGGAAGCGCAGCTCTTGAGGCTCTGCTCGGACAGGGGAAAAATTGCTGCAGGTGCTGCTGGCGAGTGGGAGTAGGAGGTTAAGCACGCAGGGGCCCGTGGGGGCAAGGCTTGCTCTGCTGGTGGGAAGCTTCCATGGCTGTCCCTTACCGCAGTTACCTGCGCTGGGTTGATTACTCAAGGGGTGTCATCTTCTGCAACTTAGGCCACAATAGCCCGGACCTCCAGTACCTCTCCTTGCCGGTGGATCACATTCCCGTCGGCTATCCTGACCATTTCAGCAGAGGATGGCCACAGGCGTCCCGGGCTGTGTGCATCACCAAGAATGGAGCGATGATGAAGTTTATCAACATTGCCTGCAGCGATGGGATGCTGCTATCTGGCGAGAGTGAGCCTGGTTCCATGCTTCCAGCTTCACTATCACCGTCAACACGCTGATGCACCGTGGCCAGGATGATATGGGGTGGGTGACGGACACCACAATTCAAGCTGCTCAACTCTGGGATATGGAGGGTTACGATGATCAACTTCCCTGCGTTGTGCCGCAGTTCCCGCTGGTGAGCATGGATGATCCCAACACCATCTATTTTGTGCTCAGGGAGAGGCGCACGGTTTCTCATGCAAAGGCATGGTTCGTTGCCCTTGACATAGATAGCAGCAAGGTTTTATGGTATAAAGATATTGCAGCCACCCCTTCTGAAGAGGACGCTGAAACAGCCCCTTCCAACATCTTCTGGAACTTGCCTTTCTTTCCTACTGAATTCACAAAGCATCTGCAGAAGGCTGCCCCTGTGCCCCCAGGTAATTTGGTGATCACTGGTCATGCACTTACACATCTAAAATAGGAAATTATTATTATTCCTTCCACTCTGTTGCATACAGAGAAGTAATTGGCACCTTGAGCCCTGGTTGGTAATATATGTTTATCTACATTTCTCTAGTTCCAATATCACAAAATCTTTATGTCTGCATTGCTAACCCAATTCATTGCTTGATCCATTTATCTTGTATCTGGGCATCCCTTGAAAGTTTGATATTCGTATGATGTTTGCCTGAATGATTAAATTGTTTTTAGGAGTTGATGAAGACAAAAAAGGTCAGCCTGAATTTTGAATTTTGTCAACTTTACTTTAGTGTCTGTAACTGGAAAATAATGTGTTCCCTGTCAATGTGTTATCATTCCAAAATTATTAGATATATATTGTCGCTATTAACTTCTTAATCTGGTATATCTTTAAATATTAAATAGACAGGAGTAAAAAATTATTGCTGATGTTGGAGTACTGCATAAGTGTTTTTGACACAGAATGTGTGGACCAACATGTAGTTGAAATGCTGTATGGTACAGCATCCCTTGGTTTTCGCTAACCTTCTTGGCACTCCTAGGCATTGTTACTGTAATCTCTTTTGAAAATAAAGGCAGGAGCTCTGCCGCTCAATTAAGAAGGAAATAGAGTTTTATGTACAACGGCACCTACGGTGCCCAAAAGCACCGGTCATAGGGCCAAAACACAATGGCCACAGATCACGCACTTGTTGTTTTACCCTGCAATACACATGGCCCTACGCCTCTGAATAATATCCTCCTTTGCTAGATAGGCGACCTGATCTGCCGTTTTGTGTTCATTTTCGAAAATCCTCCTGTTCCTTTCCTTCCATAGGTTCCACACAATGTAAATAAACACTCCATTAAACGTTCTGCGTTCTTGCTTCGGTAGCGTGCACGCCACATTCTCCCACCAGTCGGCCAAGCATTGGGGATCTTGCTGGGGCAGCTGGACATCAATGTTTTCCCAGGATAACACCTTGCTCCAGACGGCTTTAGCGAAGGGGCATAGCAAGGAAAGGTGCAGCCCTGTCTCCAAAGGTCCATTGCAGAAGGTACAGTGCTCATGATGCGGCCACCCTCTTTTTTGCAAGTTATCCGCCGTAAGAATTTTGCCATGCAATAGTATCCAGGCATGTACCTTGCATTTATTTTCTGCCCTTGCTTTCCAAACGAGGTCAGTGTGGAACCTGTGATGCGAGCCTCGGAACTGAATTCTATATGCCGAGCGTGTGGAATATTGTCCATCGGCTGTCCATTTCCAAACTATGGAGTCTTGCACATCGGGCGTGAGCTGCACCTCCTAAATCATGATCTAGAGGGTGACGAATTCTTGTATATGAACGGAAGTTGTAATATGCGGCCTCCGGAAGTTGTTTGGGTCTTTCCAAGTCCCGCCTAGGAAGGCAGAGGGCCGCCTGCGCGTGGTGGCGCTTTGTTTCTCGTGCCTGGTCGCGCGGTAGTGGTGGGCCATACTCAGGCCACGTCCCGTCTAACCAGGCGCCGTTCCGTCGGTCAGTGTGCGTCCCATCGGTCAGAGCGCGTCCCGTCGTTTCCCGTCTGCATTGAATGGGGGAAGAGAGGGGGTTTCTCGCCCCAATCTTTTCGCCTTTCCTCAACTGCTCCGCCTTTTCTTTAAATAGGGGAAGGGAGAAGGAAAAGAGAACTCACAGACTCGTTCGTGATTCCGGAGTGCGATGTTGAGTTGGAGGTCCCCTAATGTAGATGAGATGGTGCTGGCCGCCTTTGCCGAGAAGGGGCTGGTTCCGCCGAAGGAGGTGGCGCACTGGAGGATGCGTACGTCGCCGGCTTCGTCACCGTCTGCGAGGCTTTCGTCGGGATGGAGCCGTACGTGGACTCCTTCCGGCGAGTCTTCTCTCGGGCGAGCCTTGTCGGAGAGGAAGATGCTCGGGACTGCGCCGGTGGGAGGTTTCGCCCTTGCAGCTGCTCAGGTTGGCCAGTTCATAAAGTTTGATGAGATATTTTCCATCCACGACGGCCATACCTCGGCGGGCAGCGTCCCTGCCCAGGAGCTGTCTCGACTGCATGAGAAGGTCAGGAGCTCCATGCTCTTCTACCGAGCATCTATGGGTGCGCCGTCCTTGAGGTACCCGTTACGCTTGCTGAAGTCGAGGGAGCGGAACCGGGTGGGGCCCTTGTGGCGGTGGTTATGTCCGACGGTTTGTGTCGTGGCCTCTACTTTGGCATCAGCTGATGCCGCCGAGCGGCCATAGTAGTATTTGGAGTAGAAGTAGTCAGCAAATGTAATCGTTAAGTTCGTGGAGAGCCCCCGTGTGAACAGTTTTTGTATCAATGAATACACCAGTTCTGTTTTTTGATAGAATCACTATCTGTTCCTTGTTTTTTCTCATGGCATAGCTTTGTTTTTATCCTTTCTTTTTCGTACCTGCCCGTTTGTTCCGTAGGCTGCAGCTTTTTAAGAACCTAGGCATGGCCTGCAGGGCTCGGCTGCTTGTAACCGTAGGTCGTGGCGGGGTGTGTTCGGTTGCGAGTAAGAACAAAGTCACGTAGGGTAATCAAAGAAATGGAATGCGCTTTCGTTCGGGGACAAAGTTTTTACCATGTGATAGTAAAAAAGAGATGTAGTATTTAGTATTGTACCCTCATGGAGCCCCCGAGTGACCCGGGCTGAAAATGTTCGGGCTGGGGTGCTTTACAGGCGTAAGTGTTGAATAAAAGCGGTAAGACCGAATTTAGGAGAAAAACGACGTAGCTGTCAGTAGTTAGCCTAGTGTTCATGTTTTCCAGTTACCTACTATAGCTATTTACTATTCACTGTAATGTAACTTTTCAGATTCCTTGGCAACCAAGTTGATCATGGTGCCTTGGCAACCAAGTAGGAATCATAGCATCTGCTTTATGCAGTTAGAATATGCTAAGGTGTAGGTACACCACTTGCTTATATATACAGTGGTTAGTATCTTTTGTATCTAAGTTGTTATTGCAATTCAATACAATCCAAACGGCCTGCTGGCCAAGCTGCCCTCTGGCAGCCCCAATTCGCCAACAATTGGCATCAGAGCCCGGGGTTGAGAGAAAGGGAGAGGCATGGCCACCTCCGCAGAGAGAGCAGCAGCCGCCGCCGCCGAGCAGCGTGCGCAGCGTTTGGCCGCAGCCGCGCAGGCGTAGCAGGCCGCAGCAGTAGCAGCTCGGAACGCGGCCGCCACGGCTGCGGCTCTGCGTCGAGAGTTGGTGGAGGAGGATCCGCCGCGTGATCGCCGCCCGCCTCCGCGGAGGAGCCCGAAGCGCGAGCGCAGGCAGACGCGGTCGCCCGATCGGGATCAGGATCGCCGCCGCGGACGGGCTAGGGGCCGCTCGCCGGTGATCCAGACCGTGTACAAGGATTCTGGCTCGATCTCCACCTGGCCGATGCTCACTAAGTCAAATTACCATGAGTGGGCCTCGATCATGAAGCTGAAGCTCCAGGCGCGGCAACTCTGGGACGCGATCGAGTACCAGGACCTGCCGTACCATGAGGACAGGCGCACGGTGGAGGCGATCATCGCCGCCGTGTCGCAGGAGATGCAGATGCCGCTGTCCGAGAAGGGATCGGCCAAGGAGGCCTGGGACTCCATCGCCGCCGCGCGGATCGGCGTCGATCGGGTGCGCCGCGCCACGCTCCAGCGACTCCGCAGCGACTGGGAGAAGCTCGCCTTCCGTCCGGGTGAGCAGATCGAGGACTTCACCCTTCGCTTGATGGCCCTGAAGCAGCAGCTTTGTGACAGAACCGCCCAATTTATACAAGATCAAGTACGGTTGTCCCTGCTAACACGTTGACACACCCATACTTTCACTCATATAAACCCGGTAGTCCGCCGAGTGTCCCGAAAGACCTCGGTAAATCAACATCACAACCAAGATCGCGTGATTAAGCAAATACACATCACATACATCGGGTTGCAGCGGAAATAATGTTACAAAGGGTTTAACAAATAATAGTACAAATTTGGGTTTCAAAACCGCTTAGTGAAAACAACATAGCTTTCAAATGATTACATTAATATAAGTTCCAAATATATTGCTAGCATAAGTGACATCATCCGACAAAAGCATATAGATGAGAAGTAAATATAGAATCACCAAGCCCACCGGCGGTTAGCCACCATCATCAACAGGTCGAGAACATCACCTGCAACAAGGTGGGATAAACCCTGAGTACTCGAATGTACTCAGCCAGACTTACCCGTCGGAAACCAAAACAAATGACACCAAGGATCATGCAAGGCTTTCTTTAGTGGGCTAGCTGACTTGTTTGCGAAAAGCATAAGCTATCATAAAGAAACCATTTTAAGTACTTTGCATCATCTTTATTATGACCTATCCATCTAGGTAAGCACCTGTACTATAGCAATCACTTGATTAACCAATAACATCCAGTTACCAATTTAGATTTAGCATATCCCATACCATCTAGATAACCATCATTGTTCCATAATAATTACTACGATGCAGTAACTCGAGTCAAGTGCTCACTATCCAGGAGCGATGGCGATTCGAGTCGATTCCTAACCAGCTGTTGATTTATTCCTTACACAAACCTCACTCACCCGCTAAAGTGAGATATTGATCATCGGGTCAACTATCCAGGAATCTCGAGTTTGCTAGGAACCACATGTACCCGGGGGCCGACCGACTGCACTTTGGTCTTATCATCTCGCCCCCGTGTCCTACCACACCTGCTCCGGCACAGTGCGCTGCGGGCAGTCTACTCGGCCCGAATAATCACCCAGCTTCGCGGTCGGAAGGTACTTTATCCGGCCAGCTAAATGTAAGGCATGCGTTCAACATGACTCGAGGCCCAACAACGGTCGGTCCTTAATCGACACAGACGGAAACTAACAGCACCCCAGAACCCTGTCTGGTTGCCTCCAACTTTTTCCGTCCGGTCTCCAATTATCCATCACACATGGTTAATTCCAGGATACCATTCTCTCCATAGCTAAATTCTTCCAGTAACCACCTATCTATAATGTAGGTGATCGGATATCACCGATCGCTACCGGTCTAAGCAAGGCTAAGCAGTTATTCGATCCTGACCTAACAGGGTAAAAGGGTAATAAGGTAGGCAAGGATAGTAATAAATGCATCAACGGTTTCGATCAACTCCTACAACTTAATGCAACAATATATAACTCATATATAGAAAGAATTGCTTTTATAAATTAGGAGACTTATAATGCTTCGGGGCTTGCCTGGGATCCGACACAAGTCAGTTCAGTTAGCTTGCACCGTCCTAGTGACATCTCCGGTCCTAGCAGTTGCTTAG